TGCTCAAGCTATGACCAGTGTGGGATACGGTTGTTTCTGCTGCCTATGGATCAAGCTGTAGAGCTCTCAGTGTCTTCTCTATCACCTTGTCTGCCTGCACTCTGCCATGCCCCACCATGATGATAATGGACTAAACTCTGAGACTGTGAGCCATCCCCAATTAAATGTTTTTTTCTTTATAAGAATTGCTGTAGTCCTAGCATATGTTCATAGCCACAGAATCCTAATAAGACATCAGGTGTGCTTATCTTCCATACCACACTCATTCATCTTTCAACACTGTCTCATGAACAGAAAGTTCAAAATGATTAAGTACTTCTAGCTCGTTCCCAAAATAAATGAAGCTTTAGGTGTAGACTGTAAATGCCCCGGATTCCTGCCATTGTTATCTGGCATCTTGGACTTTGAAAAAAGCATGTGACATGAGTTGACAATGCATCCTGGTATCAGGCCCCGTAAAGCTCAGAAAGAGAGAGCATGCCTGGGCTGGACTGGCTGAGGAAATCTTTGAGGAATGAGGCTCAAGTAGGCCCTGACAGGATGCACAGGGTTGGGATGAGCAAAGAGACAGGGGGCAATGACCATGACAGCTGCATAGGGAGAACAAGGAGAGGGACCTCGTTCCAGCAGAAGCCCATGGAGGAAAGGTCACAAGGGCTGGGACAAGCGTTGGGACACGGCGATGCCCATCCTCTGGGGTTTGGTCTGAGAGCGACTCAAAGAACCAGTGTGACAGCCAAGTTCTCCCGCCAAGGTTTTACTGAGAGCTTTGCACGGATGATCTCAGCTGAGCTCAAACAATCCTACGGAACATATATGCCATTTATACCCACTTGACAGAGAAAACGTGTGAGCCTGATGAGAGTACATAATTCTGAAGCTATAGGAAGAGATCAGGCCCCGACTTCCAGAACCCACAAATGCTACTCACTTAGGAAAAAGGGTTTTCCTAAGGTAACGGGATCATGGATAGGGACACTGGGAGTCCCTGGCACTGTTCAGGTGGGTGTTAAATCCAATCACAAATGTCCTTAGTAGGGAAACAGAGGAGTAGGGAAACACAGACGAGGGAGGGGGAGACTACGGGAAGACAGAGGAAGACACTGGACTGATGTGGCCATGGACTGAGAGACAAGGGAGCGTGTAGGAGTGTACCTCACGATTGCTGCTGGGGCAGTGCCCTTCTCACAGCTGACTGACTGGATCTCAGCCCAGTGAAGCTCACCTTGACTGTCTGGCCTCTAGGCAATGGACAGAATGTGGTTTGTTGATTTAAGACATCAAGACTGTGGCCATATCTCACAGTGACTGTGACAGACAAATATGAGCCGAATGGGAAGACTGAGCATCAGTGTGACTCTAGGCTCCAGTGGACACCCTCTGATTTAGATGACTATTCTAGAAAGAACTAGACAAAGGTAAAGACGGGGCATAGTTAAGTTGTGACAACCAACCCAAGTACTGTTAGTGTAACTGGGGTCTACATTAGTCCTAATTAGGATTCTGGCACCTTTTTCTCAGTGGTCAACTAATGGGTAGGCTTGAGAAGAAATGAGCACAGCTAAGAGACTTCACAGAAAACAGATGATCAAGTGACAAACTGTCCATTTAGGGGCAGTGATCAGAGTTCATCCATAACTGTCAACAGCTTTCCCATTTGCTCTCCAGGAGCCCATGTGGCCTTTGATCTGCTTGTTAATACAGAAAATCTTGCAGGTCCAAACAGGCATCAAACCAGGCAAGAACCAGACTGCTTTACAATCCAGGAGCGCTTGGCAGGGGTTTGTAATGGCCACTACAAGGCATTCCTGTCTGCCTCAGCCCAGGCACATGGCTCATTTTATATCTGTGGTGGCCTTGGAGTACTCATATCTCTCTCAGTCACTGTGACACAGGCCTTGGCAGTGGAGCTGGTTTCTTCAGGGTCTAAGCCTGGCTACAATTTTTTAGCAGAGGCACTGTCTCCTTGTTGGTGAATGTCATACCTGCCAGAGCTGCAGTCAAGAACTTGAAGTCTGGATTCTGTCACTTGGAGAGCTGGTGACCCTGGGCTGTTCTCCACCCATAAAATGTGTTCCCATCTTTTAGATTTGTGAATGAGTGGTGAGACCCACCTATACGGCTTCTGGTCCATCAGAGACAATAGCCTCTGTCATTGTTAAGAACACAGCTGTGTGTGTCTGTGTGTGTTTGTGCATGTATGTGTGTGTGTATGTGCATATCTGTGTGTGTATTTGTGTGTGTAGTGTGTGTTTCTGTGTGTGTGTGTTTGTGCGTGTATGTGTGTGTTTCTGTGTGTGTGTCTGTGTGTGTGTATAGTGTGTGTGTCTGTATGTGTGAGTGTGTGTGTATAGTGTGTGTGTGTGTGTTTACTCAGTTGGTGTCTAGCAAAGGGCTGAAGGTTTGGAGGCAGTTAGGGCAGTGGGAAGCATGGAGGGAAGGGATTCAAGCTCTGTCTACTTCAGGAGTGCAGGAGAGTCCATTCTGTATTCATTGCATGTGGAATCTTGGGCTTCTCTTTGAATGGATGACTTTTCTGAGGATTTTGGTGGGATAATTCAGAGCTTCCCTGGAACAGGACTAAATATTATGTTTAAAATTCTGGAGAGAGAAAATGCTGTTGAGGGCTGGCAAGCAAGCATCACAGTGAGACAGGAAGGTGCACAGTCTGGAACAAACTCAGGAAGAGGAAGATTATGGTCAGAGCACACACTGTGGGTCACAGATAATGATGGTATCAAAGGATGGGGAAATTCACAAATCAGACCTAAGCGGGTTCCACAAAGAGCTCATTAGCAGACTGTGATTTCAGATCCAAGTAGCCATTAGGGCTTTCCCTCCCAGACCTCCTATTTCAAAAATATTGCTGCTCACAAAGATGTCACAAAATCTGTCCGCTTACTTTCATCCTCAAGATAGTGCAGCAAACTTGGTTTGGTTTTTGGAACAGTGATGAGGCTGGATCTTCATGGTTGAGGAGTCTACGAGCGAGGCTCTCCCCATGTGGGAGAGCATTTTCTACTTGCCCTAGTTGGAAACAAAGCAGGAAGGGCCCATCTAGTGTGGATGCTTTACTCACTCCATAAGATTCCCTTAGACTGCTTAGTTGAGGAAATTATTCACAATTGGCTGTATAGACTGGTGTCAGGTGCATTTTGAATTAATTCATTCAGTAATCCCTAACTTGGCAAAAACTCACGGTATAGTACAAACACTTCATTTCTAACTATGAATACATTCAGAGGTAATATTCTAGAGGAAGTAGAAAGATTATAGAAAACAGCAGAGTGTTTTTTTTTTTAAATTGAAGCAACAAAAGCTGAGAAAACCTTTTTGGAAAAGACGTAAAACCACGAGCAAAAATATCTAAATTAACATTTATATGCTTTTTTTTTTCCTGAATGGCAACATTTGATCTCTTAAGCAAGCCGATTTCCTACAAGTTAATTCACAATTCAGAGCATTCCCAGAGCTAATCCAAGCAAGGTTTCTCCTGAGGAGCGGATCATCAGATTCAGATGGAAGCATGAAGAACAGGCCAGATGGTTCTGAGGAGGGTGGAGGGGTGGCAGACCTCTGGTAGCTACACAAGAGCAGCAGGGGGCAGGCATGAAGGAAACCGTCCCATGGGAGAGGGGAGAGGCCAAGTGGTAAAGGGACATCCAGTGACCGGAGCTGGGAAGTAGCAGCACTGCCACAGACAGGTTTGCTCGCCCGAGACGCAGAGCCCTGAAGTACAAATGGATGAATACAGCGGAATTACGTTTATATTCTATTTTTCCAAACGACACATAAATTAGGGGTGGAAATTAAACTGAAGTCTAGAAACCCATGTCACTGAGGAGTGCCTTTCATACCGAACAAAATATTAACAAATTGCTCAGAAATAAGTGACTAATAAAAGGATGACTGACGTACTGAAGCAGACGATTCTTAGAAGAGAAATGTGAGTAACTAAAATGACAAAGGATACACAATGGATGCTCATCTTTAGTCATCCGGGAAGTGGCAATTAAAATATAGCAACTCGCATTTGTTTAGAAAACATGGAAGGCTTTGCCATTTCCAAGTATTGGCCCTCTGTGGAGGGACAGAATCCTACAAAACGCCCATCGGTCGCCCATGGGTAAGCATCGGTAAGTGTGATGTCCCTTCCACATCACAGAACATATTTAAAAAAAAACCCAAGTTCACATATATTAGGAGAAATGCAGGTTCCTTGAGCCATTGTTTATAATAAAGAAAAATTTGAAGCATTTAAATGGCAACCATGAAATAGATATACATTATATGCATTTCTATGTAATGCAAAATCCTAAGTCATTTACGTGAATTGACCAGAATTGCATGTAGCAATCTGAGTCTCAAAATAATAATGACACATGAGGAATTGTGTTGATTTAAGATATGTGAGGTATGAGTCTACTGTTACATATAAAATGGAAACAATGAAAAAACCCTTTTTGCTAGTCAAAGGGAGAAATGCGTGTGGATGGTGAGTGGTGACTTCGGGACACTCGCTCCCTCCGTGGGGAGTGGAGGGAGCAGGGTCACACCATAAGAAGGCAGAACCTGCTGAGACAGGCTGGACCTCCTGCTATACGGTCTGACAGAACTGGTTGGTGGGCGTGGGCTTCCAGGTGTTAGTCGGGGATGTCTCACCCACGGCCTGTGGGCTGTACACAGCCCAGGGTAGCCATGAACCCAGCCCAACACAAACCATAAACTTGCTTAAAATGTAAGGCTTTCTTTTGGTGATTAATTCTGGAACTCACAAAAGCTATCCAAGGTCGCTGTGTGACTCTGGAGTGTGAGTTGTGAGGTGACCATGTGGTCCAGAGAGCCAAAAGATGGGCATCCCTGTTGACAGTTTTCCAAAGGTCAGATGTACTTAGCAGAATGTAGTAATCCACCATTACCCTAGCTTAGTTGTGTAATAGACAAAAGAATGCTGCACTGCCATCTCAGGAATCTAAGCCCAGACACACCTTTTTTTTTTTTTTTCTAAATGTGGGATGCACGTTAAAAATCAAGCAATGTCTTCGAATGCTTTCCTGTTTAAAAGACTGATGGTGTGGCCTGAAGACCTTGGTCTCTGCTGCCCTTGCTGTCTGGACACACATGGAGTAACCAGTTTCTCGTCCCTGAAGCAATGGAGGCATGTGGGGCTCCACACACAGTCACTCCCCGGCTTGGGTTGCTGGTCATCGTAATCACTTTGAGCCTGAGTCATCTGGTCTGCACACACTGGGGAGACAGGCACAGAGCCGTGCCCTGTGCTCCGCCTTGTGTCACAGGCACTCATGGCACCGCATGGAGACAGGATTCTGGGCACCAGTCCACGGGCCAGTGAAGGTTAGAGTGGCATTATTCTTATAACTGGGTAAAAGGAGCTCACAGACCTTAGAGACCGAGACATGCTTTTTGAATTGAACTTGTGTTAAGAGAGGAGGGGAAGTGACAGCGTTCTAAGAAACACACGTAACCCGTGATGCTCTCCTGTTCTTCCTTGCTCCTGTGCCGTCGCTACAGGCTCTAGCAGCTGAAGCTGAGATGGTGTCCCAGCAGCAGAGGGAAAGGGAAACGTGAGTCCTTCTTCTTGAAGAAGACAGCAAAGGCTGTTTTGGGCAGCTTTTCCATCATTCTCCCAAAAGTAAGCGCAGATGCACCGGGCAGCTATGAAATGCAAAGCTTGTCATTTCAACCATTTCACTTATGGGTTAGATGCTCTTGCATTTGCATTTGAAATTGCGATCATATATTTTGAAGAATGAATGGAAATGGAGAGATCCATGCTAGTGGTTTAAAATGTACTTTCCTTTTAATACGAGCAAATAGCAGACTGCAGCAGCATGATGGATTGGAAGGAAGGAAGGAAGGAAGGAAGGAAGGGAGGGAGGGAGGGAGGGAGGGAGGGAGGGAGGGAGGGAGGATAGAACTTACATTTTACTTAACAGATCATCATTCCTGCTTTGAAACAAGCTCCTCACTTCTGTTTTGCACTGTCCTGTGTGTGCAGGTTACAGACGGACGCACAGTAGCTGTGGCCATGGACAGTCTACAAGGGGTCAGAGGAGTGTGGTGCTTGCCACCGGAAGAAGGAAGCAAGAACGCAGAGCCCTTGAGCCGTTTCACGTGGCATGTTCCCTACCAGGGACAGACTTCTGCTTACGAACAAACAAGTTGGCTCTTCCTTTCCACTATGATCATGAGCTCTGCTTCTTGTTGTGCAGAATGTTATCTACTGATCAAGATTCATTCCCTCTAATTAGAAGTTCAAGAGCAACCTTAGCCGCAGAGCAGTTCAAGCCCAGCGCTGGGATCACCAGACCACCAGACCACCAGACCACCAGACCACCAGACCATTGCAACGTTTTATGAACCGCATTTCCTTCCCAGACACCTGAACAGTCAGCTATGGCCATGGACTGAATTCTAGCAGTGACCAAACAGTAACTGATAGTGCTTTTTCCTGATCTTTTAGGTCACCCCTCACCCCACAGGTCTGGGATCCTGCATCACTACTTAATTCTATGTCCTATTTTCTTCACTCATCTCAGGCAACAACTTTTAAAATTACATCTTCCTAGTATACATTCAGCGGATGTCATGTGAGGTCCACTTGGAATCGAAATAAAGCTTTTGTCCTCACTTCCAGGAATCCATTACATGCAACTAAGAGCTATGTAGCTGTTTGTATTCTAGACTTATTAAATGCCATTATAGAAGCTCAGGAGGGGTTGCTCAGCTTAGTATTGTTCCTGCCAGAGAGGAAGAGTGTGACAGTGTTGTGGTAGGTGCCGGAGTGTGTTTGGGGTGGGCTGTCTCAGGCTCCCTCCCCTCCCCATTCTGCCGCTGAGCCCTGGCTTGTAGCTTCATGGCCTCAATTCTGCCCTCTAAGCAGGGCTGCCGTCAGCTTCACTGGGTTATGACAGGGCCCTGTTAGCCCCAGGGTGCATGGAAACTGCTGAAAGATTCTGAGAGAAGTAATTCAGCAAGAATAGCATTCTGGTGGTTTTATTTTAAGTGGGAGTTGGATATCAAAGGGGAAATTTGTTCCCATCCACTTTGTGAGTAATGGCTCCTGCTATTCAGATCTGTCTTTTTTTCCTTGCAAGAGATCGTTTTTTTGTTGTGCTAGGACTAGAACGCTTGTTCTGGTCCTTGAGTAGGTAATTGATTAAATTTATTGATGAGCATATTCAAAGGAAGGCTATTAAAATAGCCATTTTTATAAAATATGCATTTATTAGACTTCTAGTAAGCAGCATATATAAAACCAGCCATACATGTGAAAACAAATTAAATATTTCTCACCTTAAGTAAAATAAATCTTATTTTCAAATCTACAGAGATTAAACTTCATTAGCATATTAAACATTAATACACGGCAGACTATTATAATGTAATATATTATTTATGTTCAGCTAGACAAATCAAATCATGTCCTTCGGAAATAATGTTCTTAGCAGTAAGAACGTGAACGGCTGCACATGAACGTCTAGACAGTGATTTGAGGATGAGTGCTGGCCTTGTGTCTGTCTACGGGACTTTTAAAGGCAAAACCAGTGCAACTCGACGATTAAATGAAATATTCAATATACGTTTGCTGAGTGTATACTATGGAGAATGTATTGTGTTAAGGCTATGGAAGGGAGTAAGAGAGTTTACAAAAGTAAGAATTTTATATTCTACTTATGTGGAATATGTTGTTTTGAGACAGGATCTTACTATGTAGCCCAGGTTGGCTTGAAATGTACCATATAGCCCAGGATGTTCTTCAACTTGCAGCAATCCTCCTGCCTCAGGCTCCAGCATGCTAGGATTGCAGGTGTGAGTCAACACAGCTGTCTTACACGGGTAGACAGTTTTTTACATGTGAAAACTGCTCACACACTTTTCGCGGTTGATCTCCATGAAGCTTCCATGGGGTTAGGAAGGCTATCATAGTCCATTTCATAAATGAGGACACTTTGAGTTCAGTGGTCACTGTGAGTGTTTCCTAGGGCCACTATACAAAAGCTATAAGCTTGGTGGCTGCAAAGAGCACAAAGTCATTTTCTCATAGTCTAAAATCAAATTGGTTGAGCCCTGATCCTTCTGAAGGCACTCAGAGAGTCTATTTTATGTCTGTGTTAGTCAGGATTCTCACTGCTGTGACAAAATGCGAGAGACAACAACTATAGGAGGAAGGTTTATTTTGCTCATGTCTCATCTGTCCAAAGGGGAGAGCATGGTGTGCAGAGAAGCAGAGATGTAGTCTGTGCTAGCCCACTGGCTTCCACCTTTTCCTTTAATTCCTTCTGGGTCCCCAGCCTATACAATGCTGCTACACACATCAGGGAGAGTCTTTCCCCCTTAGCTAATCCTGCAGGGAAACCCTCAGAGACGCACCCAGACATGTGCTATACTGGTCTCAATCGATTTGAGTTGACTGATGACTCACTACAGCATGTCTCTTTCAGTGTCCTGCAGTCAATGTCCTATCCTTGTCCCGAAGGGGCATCAATTGCAGCCCACGTCCTTCCCTGGCACAGGAGAAGAAGAAGGTGTAATGGCTAGTGACTCAATCTCAGGATTAAAGGAGGTGAGAAAAACGGCCAGATGTTGGCCTAATGAGACCAGGAGGCACAGATGACTTGGGCACACTGTCAAATTTTACCTACTTTGTTTGGCAGCCTCTGCCCTTAAAACTCCTAACTGCACCCACATTAATCCTAGTGAGGGGCACACAGTCCACACACACAGAAATACATAGTTTTGAGTTTATAATGCTTCATATTTACATTGTTCTGTAGCTCCTTATTTGTGGTAACACTGATTCAGTCCTTTTTTTTTTTTTTTTTTTTTTTGTTTTTGTTTTTCAAGACAGGGTTTCTCTGTATTCTTTTGGAGCCTGTCCTGGAACTCGCTTGGTAGGCCAGGCTTGGTCTCGAACTCACAGACATCCACCTGCCTCTGCCTCCCGAGTGCTGGGATTAAAGGCGTGCACCACCACCGCCTGGCTCAGTCCTTCTTTTAATTATTCTGTTTCAAGACATCCTCAAGAACTTTGAGAAACACATGCACATGTGCCTGGATACAATGTCTCCACAAGACTGTGCTGACTCTTTGAATCATCCATTATAGTCTTCATTGGTCTATCCTATCCTATCCTATCCTATCCTATCCTATCCTATCCTATCCTATCCTATCCTATCCTATCCTATCCTTCCTTCCTTCCTTCCTTCCACCCATCCATCCATCCATCCATACACCTACCTACCTACCTACCTACCTACCTACCTACCTTTTGGGTTATTGTAGTGAGTGTTTACCTTTTGTCAAGCCCTGTTTTTGAGTATTTTGAAAGAACAAACCCAGTTAGTTCTCACAAATCCACTGCCCCTACACTTTATGCAAGGAAAGCAAGGCACAGTGTGGATGGAAAACCTCAACTCAGGCACAGAGGGAGGTGACATTCATACTCCTAATAATGACCATCTACTTGTGACAACATGGAGTCACTGCTAAGATCTGAACACAGAGCATGAACAACTCCTAATGCATGTGAGAACATTAGCAGTCACACAGTGAAGTGAAGGTACTCTCTAGAGTAGATAGCATGTAAACGATATAATTGCATATGGTGAACCATGAGTCTGGTGTGCATGCCCTGTGGAAAGAACCAGAATCACTCCTCCATCTCTCACGTGCTCACCCCTAAGTCTAGTGGCATATACATGTCACTTCTGAGCTAACATCCCACCAAATATAAACACATAAAAATAATTTCAGGATTACTGGTCAACAGATATAATCTCAAAATAGTGGATGCTGGGGATAGAGAATTTTATCCTCAGCATCCATGCAAAAAACTAGATATGGTATTTGGGCTTGTGGTCATTAATGGGGAAGTGGAGACAGGTGAACCAATGGCCAGCCAGCCAGCCAGCCAGCCAGCCAGCCAGCCAGCCAGCCAAAGGACTGTACCTCAAGTCCTAGTGAGAGACACTGTCTCAGAACCAGGCAGATGGTGCCTGAGGATGACACCTGGGCTGACCTCTGCACTTGTGCATGCACACTCACATATGTGTACACACATGTACAGCACACACACATACATACATGTACAACACACACAGACAGACACAAACACACAAACACACAAACACACACACACACACACACACACCATGCACAACCATCTTCCTCTACATAAAGCTCTGGTTCTTACATTTGGGAGCACACAGACTCACTTGGGGAATCTGTTAAATTCCCAAGCCTTCCTTGCTTTCCTCGGGCTCTCTTCCAGGGACTAGGGTGGACGCCCCGATGCCACAGCTGTAACCAAACTGTGATTCTAATGCAGACCTTCATGGGCTATATAATCACCCATAGATGTTAGAAGCTTTCCACAATATTTTAGATCATTCTTAGAACATTCCCTTATGCATAATATGTAATATATACCACCTGATCTTTCAGTATTTACCCTTATATCTGACTTGGGGCTTTTATTTTTAAGATCAATTAGAATTCGTACTACATTTGGGTAGTGTTTTTCCATCACTTCCAGTTGGGCTGAGTCATGCTATATGTCATGGGCACACAGCTTTGTTAAATGGTACCTGAGGTCGTGTCCATGGCCACTCTGGGGAGAGCATTATCTGTGTCTTCCGTAGTCTGTCTGAGCAAGCTGCCCGTGTTTGAAGGCCTCCAATGGGAGCATCACAGCCTTAACCACTTTAGGCTCCATCCGAGCTGTAAATTAAGTTAGCTGACTTGCATGAATATGGCCCAACGTTTTAAAAAGCTCAGCCTATGGACAAGAGAAATGACAGCGGCATCCTAAATTCATTTTCTCCCCAATGGACAGCCATAACGGAGTCTGTTGGCTCTCATCAAAGCAGTGGGCCCGAAGCGGCCGGACTGCAGTGGCTGCCCTGGCTGAAGACATTTGTATTCCTTCTAATATGCTTAGTGCCTCTAAGTAATCAGGTTTTCTCTCGCTCAGCTACTCCTGACTAGAACTAAATTATGACTCTTACGATGATGTTTAAACTCACTCTTCATTTACAGTGCGGGATAATTTCTTCGCTCTGCTTCTCCTTCCATAGGAAGCCTAGGTTAACACTCTTGAGGATGGAGCTCTTGCTTTCCCTCCTCCATCCCACACATTCTTAAGTGGGTTTTCTGAGCAGAGAGAATCACGGTCTTCAGATAATCTTACCAATTTTGGTATTTTTAAAAATGATTACACTTTAGATTCAGAAACCTCCTGGAAATGGGAAATTTCTAAGCTCTTTGGAAAATAATAAGCCACAATCAAGGAACAAAGGAATATTTTTTAAAAAACACGTGGTGCACATTCTCATCTTCATGTTCTACAATGGATTATAAAAGCTAGTGAAACAAATGAAAATTGCATACTCTACTTCTACCCAGATATTCATGATGTTTCCACAGGTCGGTTCCCCCAGAGGCCAGCCACCATCAGCACCATCATCCACCATCAGCACCATCAGCACCATCATCCACCATCAGCACCATCAGCACCATCATCCACCATCAGCACCATCATCCACCATCAGCACCATCAGCACCATCAGCACCATCAGCACCATCATCACCATCAGCACCATCAGCACCATCGGCACCATCAGCACCAT